TCTACCAAATTAGCCAGCTTTCCGCATACGGTTATAATAAATTCCATATTGCCCGTTTCGATTAATCTGCAGCCTTTTGTGTTCTTAAGTAGTCTGTGATTTAACTAAAATTAGGGTTTTATGTTCTTGTTCTTGTCACATGATTGTAAGAAGAAAAGGTTCAATTTTTGGGAATGTTATTATCAAATGAGTAAACCTAAGGTCATATATAGTGTCTGCAAGTGCGGTATATTGGCTCCTGAATACGCTTAGTTACATGTTCATGGTTAGTTTTGATGTCAATTGTTCATTTCTAGTCTGAGAATTGATCTCCTTAAGCATGCCTATATAAGCGAACTCCATTTCAATGCGTAATGAAGTCAACCTTTGAGTGTTTTTTGTTTTTAGACTATGATTAGATGAGTCACTGAGATTGATAAGCTAGCATACCGAATCTTCCATGTCGAACAATAACTCGAGTTGAGACAGAAGAGAGAAGAGATTGTCTTGGAAACTAAATTATCTTTTTGCAATCAAAATCTTTCATTTGCAGCTTGTTTGCTTAGCTGATCTCGAGTTTGATTACATCAACCCTTACGACTCTGCGTCGAGGATAAATTCCGTGGTTTTACCTGAATTCATTGTTCAAGGAACTCTATGCGTATTCTACCTCTTTACAGGACACTGGGTCATGACACTCCTATGTCTCCCTTATCTCTACTACAACTTCCAACTGTAAGTCTGTTTAAACAGTTAATCTTCAATCTTTTGCTCCAATCAGATGTTGATATCTTGATGATATCCATTCGGTTTCTCGTATTTTCAGTTACTCGAAACGACAACACTTGGTAGATGTCACTGAGATCTTCAATTTGCTTAACTGGGAAAAGAAGAAACGGTTGTTCAAGCTTGCGTATATAATCCTAAACCTCTTTCTCACTATCTTCTGGTAAATAGCAAATATCTTTGAAATCAATCCCTTTTTGCTCTACATTATTTATTATAGATCAAGACAGCTAAAACACTTTCTGCCTGCAAACTTTTTTCTTAGGATGATTTATTCGGCGCTGGATGATTACGAGGACTAATCCACAAGACGCGGTCCATCTTCTTTGGTTTTTTCATCTGATTGACACGGCGCTGTAAGGACACAGCGCCATGCTCGTGGACATGAGAAAAAAAGAGAGGAAAAAAGTGTTTGCTTTTGCTACCTGTGTTTGATATTTGTATGATTAGTGGGAGAAAGATTTGTGTATTATCTTCTTTATTAGAAACATTTTCAGATCCTGATTTTCAACGTCTTTTTATGTCTGTCTGATCATTGTTTGTAAAAGCAATCAAGCTCGTAAACTAACTGGTGACAGAAACAATAAAAATGAGCAATTTCAATGTTCAGAAGAAACTGTGTAATTCATGCGAACTTGGAGGTTAAAAAGTGATACACTTTTGTGTGATGTTAGAACATTCGGTTTCAGTTTTGTAATTAAAGTTAAATGTTATATAAAAACCAGACCAAATCCTCTACTTGTGCTTATGTGACCATCATCGTCGTCAGGCCAGAGAAATCTCGTTATCAAGGTGACTTCTCTCTCTCTCTCCAGCTTCTTCATCTTCTCAAATAAGCTCGATCTTCCTTGTTGTGTGGTCGATCTCAAAGTAAAGAGAGATTGATAGATCCAATTGCTCTCGTTCCATTGTAGAAACTTGACCTAGATTTGTCTGGGATACAATCGTAAAGTCTTAGATTTGAGAATCGAAAATCTATTGTGATGATTAAGTAGCGAAAACCCATCTCTGGAATCGTTGCATCTAGTAAAAAACCCTGAATTGAAACAAGGGTTAAGCTTTCTTTTCCTCATATGATCATTTTTGTTCAAGATGGCGAACGATGTTCTGAGTTTAGTTTTTGTTGTTGTCAGGTAAGAGAAGTTTGAGTCACAATGGTTAATGCAATCAAAGGAGTGTTCATCTCCTGGTACACTGTTCTTCATTTACTCAAGCAAATCTTGTCAACAAAAATTGATGAGCATGAACACAATGTTGAAGTCATGATG